CAGTTCATCCAGGGTGACACCTACGACACCCAGGCCCAGGGCGACCAGTGAGTGCCCGGCTGTTTCAGGGGGGCCGTGGCGTGGCCATGCTCTTGGCTTCGCCAGTGTCGCAACCCTGCGGTTGTCTTACTGCAGGGGACGGCCCAGCAACGCTTGACCGCCCAACACTTCAGGCCGCAGCGTCGCGCGCGGGCCCTCCGGCTTGAGTGCGCCGACCCGCGAGCAGCGCACGATGCAAGCACCTCCCGCGAATCTGTGATGGGCCGTGACATCCACACGCGGGCCACCCTGCGCTCACCTCCGCCCTGCCCTGCCCAAACCTACCCCCCATAAAGGTACTACAACAAGGCCTAAAGGGATCCAGACCCTGCATACCCGAGCCCATCGAGCGTGCTCACCCCTGCATTGATGCATACGCACAACACTCCCAACTGATGCACGCCGCCGCAGCCGTCCCGACGGCCGGCTGCGCGAGCGCGAAGAAAGCCAACACACTGCACAGCATTGTAGATCGCGGGCGCCGCAGCATTGAGTGGCGGGCAGCGCCGCTGACGACCTTTGAACACGCACACACACATGCACACACACGCACTGCTGGCAGGCACACTCCTGCATTTGTTTGAGCGTGCGGCACGCACACCAGGCGTGCGCGCATGAGCCGCTGGCCTGGGTCGTCAACAGCTCTGTGCTGTAGGGCCACGCAGCGCTGGCACTGTCGATGCTGTCATTCATATGCATGTAAAACCAAGACTTTCTCGTTGCGCAAGGCAGTGCTAGTGCCGGTTGTCTGTGGGCCAGGGTAAAAACGTGGAGGCCATGGCGCTGATGCCCCCTCACCCCCCAGGAGCAAGCGCATTTGATTTCAGCCAGAGACTTTGATTACATTACACGTGTATGCGGGTGCAATCAACAACGACAATGCTGTCGCATGCGTCGGGCCGCCTAGGCTCCCCCCGCACCCCGCCCATGGTTGGGCGCCCCCAAGCGCCCGCCCCCCGTCCGCCCCGTCCCCCGGCCCTCAACAGCGGCCGACGCCCCCTCCTCCTGCTGACGCGGCTGCTGCGCGCTACCGGCCTTGCCACCGCCACGGCAACCGCTGCTGCGCCCCGTGTCGAGCGTGCTGCGTGCCGTGGCGGGGTCCGGCGGCACATACTTGGGCATGCGGCCCTTCACATCGTAGACGTGCTGCCCGCTGGCCGTGTGCACCACCAGGCGGCCCTTCAGCACTCGGCCCATCTCGCTGCGGCGAGGGCGGGCACGGCGGTTGGGAGGGTGGGGGTTCAGCAGCCGTCGGCCAAGCCTTGCGCCGGCCATCGGCCGTGGCAACCCTGGGTGCAGGGGAGCAGCTGGTCTGGCCGTGTGCAAGGGGCGAGGGCCCCAGGTCAAGGCGGGCAAGCTGGCCCACCAGTGCGATAGACAAAACAGCGCATTTAGAAACTGCTGCTTTACTGAGGAATCCACCCTGATCTCCCCCCCCCCCAATTCGGTGTTGCGGCTACCAACACCTAGTATCACCTGCACGTGTATGTCACTGTGATGGGCGCCACAGCAGCGCCGCCCGCCCCCTCCCCGACTCCGCCAACCGCACACCCCGCCGCTGGCGCCACCGGCAGCAGCCCCCGCGCCGGCCGCACGTCAAACGCCAGCGGGCTCTCGGGCGTGAACTCCGCCGTGAACTCCTCGGGCCCGTCGCCCGATGAGTAGAGCCCGAGGGGATGCTCCGCGGTGCGGCCGACGTAAGCTTCCAGGGTGATGACGCCGTCAACGTCTGGGGCAACCGCCTGCAATGATGATGATGATTTGGGGGCAGCACAGTGATGCACCAAGCAGATGCTAAGAGCATCCGGGAACTATGTGGTGTGTGGGTGTGAGCGGCTCAGTGGGCAAGAGCTGGCTGGGCACGCTGTGGGGCGGGGCAGGCATATGCGGGGGCTGCGGTCCTGATGGGCCGTAGCTTTGTCCTTGACGTTCTTCCTGCCAGTGTCCAACAAGACACAATTCATGAACGGCGAGGCGCGACCCTGGGAAGCGGCAGTGAATGCGCAGCAGCAGCAACCGGGGGAGAGCAAGAGCACCCGACGGCGTGCCCACCGCGAGGTGCACGTCGTACGCCCAGCGCCCGCCGCCAGACCGCACCACAACCAGCGGCACCGTCGCCGCCAGCGCGCGCCGCGGCTCGAATGCCAGCCGCACGGGCAGCTGCCGCGCCGCCGCGGGCGCGGCCGCCGCGCCCGGGGCGCTCGACGCGCCAATCACTGCGCCAGCGCCCGCACCACTGGAGGACGAAGAGCCGCCCCCGCCGGCCGCCACGGGCTGCTCTGTGAGCAGGTCCGCCCTCAGCGCCGCCGCCAGCGCCGCGCGCGCCGCCGCCGTCTCGACGCCCGCGCCACGCGCCGCCGCGACGTCCCACTCCAGGTGGTAGCTGGGGGCGGGGCCGGCCGGGTCGGGGGGCGGCAGGCCGGGCAGGGGCAGGGCGGCGTCGGTCTCCGCCCGCTGGCGCGCCTTGCACTTGAGGCTGTGAGACGGGGCGCGCGACAGTGGACGGGCGGCGGCAAAGGGGGGCGTGTGGTGGTGCGTCGTCAGGCGGTGATTAGGGCAGGCAATGGGGATCGCTGCTGCCGCGGTGCAGGCAGCAGCGGTCGCGCCAAGGCAGATCAATGCGCCCTCAATCCTGAAATGTGCCGATACGAGCAGGCCTTCGGGCCGGGCAGCAGCAAGTGGCCTCTCTGCAAATAAAGCACACACACCTGAAGCTGACACCTCGAGTGTCGGCCTGCGCCACGCCGTGCAGCCCGTACCGCCACACCAGCGGCGCCGGAGCCGCCACAACAGGCTCCACCAGCTCCACCGTCAGCTGCGCAGCAGCTTCCCTCAACAGCACCGGCGAGAAGGTGACGGGCAGCTGCAGGGCGCCGCCGCCCGGCACAGACAGGACCGCCGGCTCGCTGCCGGCCGCGAGTGCCGCATCGCTGTCGCCGCCGCCGCCCTTGACGGACGCGCCCGGCTGCGGAGGCGCCGGCACGCGCTCGGAGGTGCTGCGGCGGCGCCTGTCTGCCGTCTGGGGCGTGCTGCGCGGCAGCTCAGCAGGATCGGGCGGTGTCGTGCCCGCAGGAGGCTGCTGCTGCTGCTGCTGCTGCTGCTGCTGCTGCTGCTGCTGCTGCTGCTGCTGCTGCTGCTGCTGCTGCTGCTGCTGTCCCTTGACACCTACGGAGAAGGTGCCCGGTGGCTCCCCTGGCGCCGCCAGCTCGACTTTGACGGTAACCGGCCCCGGCATGGGGTTGGTCCAGGACAGAACCTGTTGTTGCAAGCGGCGACATACATCGAAATAAGTACAGGCGGGATGGCACCGATGATACATGACGATTTGTAAGACTATAAACGTTTGCTGCAATGGCAAAGCCGTGCATCCGTGCAAGTGGGGGTCCTGGAGGCGCGGCTGATGCCCCCACCCATTGGCCACACCCCAGCTTCGGCGCACCTTGGTGGCCCTGCCACCCAGCACAGCCACCACCTCCGCCGGCGCGTCCGCGGGCCCGCCCTCCCCCGGCATGAGGCCCCTGCCCGCGACCGCGTAGGCGACGCGGCCGGCGGTCGGGCTGGCCACGACGACGCTGGCACGCTCCTCAGTGCCGAGGCTGCCCGGCCGGTACTCCACCTGTGGCCGGGTCGGGTTCACAGCTTTTGTTGCCTAACACGACTACTGCCTGAACAGAAGACTGGTTCACACATGGCTCGAGTCCCTTGCCCTGCAGGCCAAACCCCTTTTGCGGTTTGAATTGTTGAGGTACAAGAGTTTGTCACCATGACGTCACAAGGGGGCACCTGCACGCCAGCCATTGTCCCCCAAGGGGCGCACCTGTATGTCTGTGGAGGCGTACGGCCCCAGGGTGAACGCCGCTGGGGAGACGCCGAAGCGCCCCGCGGCGCCCCCGCCGCCCTCCCCCTCGCCCTCCGCCGCGGCGACGGCCGCAGTATAGGACGCCTCGACCGCTAGAGGGTTTGTGACCGTCAGCGGGGCGGTGGCGGCCTTGCCCAGCGGGCACGAGAGCAGCGGCAGCTCCTCCAGCCCGCCGGCGGTGGCGGTCATCTTGACGCGCCACCAGAACTCGCCTTGGTGCATGAAGGAGGCATCGCAAGGCAGGGGTGGGGTGAGTCAGGGAAACCATTGAGTTGACTCGTTCTGAGTGGGTGGTGGGTCTGAAAGAAATCGGATCTGGCTGTGCCAAGAAATGGGGGGAACAACCAGCGCCAAACTTGGTGTTAAGCGATGGACGCCAGTCGCATGGCCGCGCCATCTGTGCCTGTGCCTGCCCACGGGTCGCTGACCCCTGCTCCCACACTGCCCAGCAAGTACATCGCAAAACGCGGCTGACCCCGCCGCCCCGCCGCGCAGCGCACCCGCCTCGTCGCCCACGAGCCGCACCACCCCCTCCTCCTCCCCCTCCACCAGCGGCGCGTAGTAGCACTCAAACGCAAACGCGCCACCGCCGCCGCCGCCGCCGCTGCCGCTGCCAGGCGGCACGGTCGCGCGTGAGGGGCCGACAAGGGAGGGCGACGAGTATTGGGCGCGCAGCACGAGGGGCTTGTCTGTGGGGTTGGCCACAGGAATCAAGATCGCCACCGCGCGGCGCGCGGGGCATGTTACTGAGAACGTGCCCGCCTCTGGAGGCGCGCTCGCGCGGACCTGCGGGATTGCATGATAGATAGATAG